AAATGGCTCAAAGAAGATTCCAAATCGGGACCACAGTAGTTTTCTGGGGTAGGTTCAAAGCTTGCCAAGCTGACTTCTTTTTAGGACCTGCTGGTCCTCGGCTGGATGGCTTTGAACCAAGTGTGGCAGGCCGCCGCCAACTGCACTAGTCGCACCCTCGCGACCTGTTTCCTTCCACGATTTTCCTTCTCCCTCCCATGGTCTCCTTCATTTCCATAAGGAATAATTTTAGAGTGAATAATGACAACAGAAAAAGGGTGGACAGTGGTGATGTAAAAAAGAAAAAAGAGAGAGAGAGACTTCTGGAATGAAGAAATGAGCTGTTTCTTGCTCTGGGTGTGTTCCCTACGTGTGTTCAGATGCATGGGTTGCATTGTATACTTGGGTGTTGTGTCCTCTATGTGTATATCTTAGTTCAATTTAAAATGTTTTTTAGTTTTTGAAAAATACATAAAGTTCTAATCATGGCAAAATACACACTACATAAAATTTACCATATTAACCATTTTTAAGTCAGTTGTATTAAGTACATTCGAATTGCTGTGCAGCGTGGCTACCATCCATCCCCAGAACTTTGTCATCTTCCCTAACTGTGCAACTCCCGGTTTTAACCTCCCCATCATGCTACCTTCTGTCTCCATGATTCTGTCTATTCTAGGTAGACGAAATAAGTGGAATCATCCAGTGTTTGTCCTTCTGTGACTGGCTTATTTACTTAGTGTAATGTCCTCAAATTTCATCCATGTTGTAGCCTGTGACAGGATTTCCTTCCTTTTTAGGGCTGAATAATATTCCACTGTATGTATAGAACTGTTTTGTTTTAAAAATAAAGTTAAAAAGTACAACTGTGTCAGTCCCAGAAGATTTTGGCCAGGGTTACGTTCATGGGTTTTCACTGAGGCTCTACTGAGTGCTACCACGGGTCAGGCACTAGGCGAGGTGTGTTCTGTCCGTTCTCACTTGTTCCTCGCAAACTTACTTCCATTTTTCAGCAGCGAAAACCCAGCTACAAAGTCAGAGGTTAACTAACTTCCCTGAGATCACGTGGCTGCAAAGGAGCGGTGCAGAGTTCTGACCCTTGTCTGTGACCCTGGAGGCGGCCGGCCTGAGGCGTGGGACAGTGCACCCTACAGGAAGCTTGTGTGTCCCCAGCGAGAGGATGCCTGCTAAGGGACACGTCCCTTATAAAGCATCACGGAAGTCCGCACGTCCCCGGAGCGCTGACAGGCGATCGGCCTGGCTTCCGTTGCGGCGCATGAGCCCGCCCGGGGTGTGCGCGCCGGGGCTGGCCGCGCTGGGCCTGCAAAGTCGCGCTCCTGCCTCCGCGGCCTCCAGCCGCCGGGCGCGGGGCCGGTCGTGCCGCGGCTGCCGCTCCGCACTGCGCGCCTGCGGAAGGCCGCCCGGCCCTGGGGCCAGCGACCGCGCCAACCCCATCTCTGCTCGCCGCGCCCCGCCTGTCGCCCTCCTGGGAGTCCCCGGGGTACCGTCGCCGCCTCCCCTCCCTTCTCCTCGTGGGCGCTGCCGCCTGGTCGTGGGCTGGGGGTCGGGCCGCCTCTCCGGGGGCCGCCACGTTGCGGCCCGGCACCCGAGGGCCGAGCCTCTTTCCGAAACCTCCATCAGAACAGGCTTTGGCACTTACGGTCGGAAATGGGGGAAATTTTCACCAATTCGTGTTTGGTGGGGTTGAATTTTGAATGTTGCGTTGCCTTAGAGCCTTCAAAGCAGCCCTCTTGTTACACCGCGTCCCTGGAAATCATCCCCAAAGTGGATTTGTAAAGCGGGAACAGCGAAAGTGCGAATTGCGTTATCTATTAAGGACTTGGAGTCGGACACATTGCAGGTATGGCCAAATGTCATAAAAGCAAAGATGACAACTACACAATTACTTGTAATTATATACAGAAAAGTGGTCGCCGAGAACGATAAATTCCAGCCTCACGAGACAAAGTGATCTCTCAGCTCTTGAAACCCCATTACAGCTTAGCAGGTTCGTGCACGAAGGAGGAGTTAAGGAGACCCACGAGGTTAACGTGCACATTATTTCTTCCGGAGAACATATAGCAAGAGGTAGTAACAATGCTACAGGAACCCTTGGGAGAGGCTACTTGAAGTTCCTAAGTACCTGTGAAAAGACAGAACAGCCATTGCAGAAATTTCTCAAGCTTCTTTTGTAGGAAAGTTTTTGCTCCTTATTCTATCTAGATGAAATTTTTTTACTCTGAAAACCTGCTCAAGGATTCTATCAATAAAAACAATCAACTACAGAGCTGGTGATTTATATTTAAGGCCACTTTTTACTACTTAGATTATAACATGCTTATTTTCAATTACAATTTAGTCTAGGAAAGATACTATTATAACACAAAAAATAAAGTTTTAGTAAGAGTTTTGTAAATATTATGATCTAAGTTACATTTACATACCAAACATCTTCAAATATAATACTAGAAACAGTTCACTGCTCTTAGTGTTATTTATATTCCTAGCTGACCATAAAAAGTCTTGCTAAGACATTCTATAAGGCTAACAGAAAAAAATATTTTGGGCAATGAGAAATCTTAGAATGCATAAACCTCAGCTTTGCAGTGTAATAATATAAAATTAGAATGAGAAATACATTTTCGGACTTTAATGTACAATGCCTTCGTGTTTGATTGTATTTAAAAGTTATCTCGAGAATGTCCTGAACTCCATGGAGGTGGGGGTGGGGCAGTGGCAGGAATCTATTGATCTTTACAGAAACATTTTTCTTTTGAAATCATGCAGTACTTTGTATAAGAATTTATTTGGTGGAGATCCACAAATCAATGTTACAAATACCAGAAGGAAAAGTTCAAAAGAAAAAAATTCAGCCAAAGGACTTTTTTTCAAAAATACTAAAGAATTAAAGTGTTAATAGGAAAATAAAAGCCTATATTGAAAAGAGACCTAAATCTCATGAACTTAATTTTTTTAAAGGATGTTTGACTTGTATTCATAATTCTAATTCTAGGTGTTCTTGCATAAGAAATCTATGATCTAGCCACTTACTTAGTGATCAAGGAAAGCCAGGATGGGTCAGAAATATTCTGGCTTGCTCTTTTCCCCTTTTTATTTTCTTTTGAAACTTAACGTATCTTTTTTTGTTAATTTCATGGGAAAAAATAATTCAGTGAAATAAAGTTTTAAAAGGAGAAAGTGAATGATTAAGAAATGTTTTAGAATTTTAATAAATGGATTTGGAGATGGATTAGTAATGCTTGACATTTTATAACTATCACAGATTATGTAGTGCCAATAGGATGACTGAGCTTCTGCAAATACGGATGCAAGAAAGTAATTGTCTTGCATACTGCAGATTAAAAGATAAGGTGCATAAATATGTTAGGTAGAGCATCTGAGTTTTAAAATAAATTTATGGAATTAAAAAATTTTCCATTAAATAAGATAACAATAATTTCAGTGAAATTTCCGAATAATTAACAGGCTAGAGAAAAAACATATCTGGAATCTTGACCATAGGGAGAGGTGATTTCTACTTTTATTGCACATATTAATGCTTACAGTGACTGGCTAAATAGAGAGCACCCTTTCACACTCCCATATCCCCATGAGGGAGAAGGACCCTAGCCTTCAGGGTCATGGATACCTCAAATAGCAACAAAATGGAACGCTTGCTTTCATTTTTTATATGAATTGAAATCAGAACACTACCTTGAAAAAATACTATAGGCACTGTTGTATCATAGAATTTTACTTCTTTATAAATTAGTGGTTTCCAAGGAGGTGAATCTAATTTCACACTCCTACCCATGCACTAAATGGGCCAACTAGACTATGGTCAATTCACAATATTGGCATCTTCATCAACATATGGTGAATAAAACCCAATTTTAAAATGTGAAAACTAAATATAATTACAGTTCTCACTCTCATCTCCAACCCCACTTAAAATCAAATCGTGGGTAAATCAGAAGCTTATTATTAACATTTATCTTGGTAGAACCTAAAGAGCCTGTGTTCACATCCACCTCGGCTGTCTGTTAACTGAGTTGTTACCAAAGTTTTTTTTTTTTTTATCAAAATGCCTTTTTTTTTTTTTAAAGATTTTATTTATTTATTTGCGAGAGAGAGAATGAGAGACAGAGAGCATGAGAGGGAAGAGGGTCAGAGGGAGAAGCAGACTCCCTGCTGAGCAGGGAGCCCGATGCGGGACTCGATCCCGGGACCCCAGGATCATGACCTGAGCCGAAGGCAGTCGCTTAACCAACTGACCCACCCAGGCGCCCCATCAAAATGCTTTTCAACTAGGATTTTCTGGTGGCCCTTCTCACCCCGGGGCACTAGGTCCTACTTCCTGAAGCCTAAGGCATCCATGGTAGGTGATGAATGAACTTCTCTCCTCTGCATCGTATAGTGGCACGAGTTATGCACCAGCCTAGGGGGAATTGAGAAAATGGTCACTCAGATAATTTTCTGTAAGGCTCAAATCTGTTTGAGAAAGGCCGAAACGGTATTTACGGGAAGTGAGCATTTTTCAAGCCGAGGAGATTATCCCAGTTCATTCTGCTGCAAAGCATAATGCTCTAATGAACTAGTCGCACGTGCTAATCTGAGAATGGGAATCCCAGTCTTCTCATCAGGTTGCTAGTGGGTCACTCTTTATGATATAAAACACAAAGTATGTTTTGGAGTGTTGCCCCAGATCATCAGGAAGTTGGTGTTGATTTGTACAGAGGAATGAATCAAATTGGCAAGTGTGTGGTGTTTTGCTGAATAAGGGCTGACAGTACTCAGTGGAAGTTGGAGTGTGAGAAGGACCGGGCTCAGCATTACCACTGTTCATCGGTTTATAAACAAACAGCGACTCAGACACGACAGCAGGGTGTGCAGTACAGAAAATTCTGCCACCTTCCAGCCACACCCGCACAGAGAAAGAGCCTTCCCTGTCAGTGCAGCAATCTGCGTGGGTGACAGATGGGGCACACGTCCGAAATCAGCACATGCACTTACACAGGAAGTAAAACCCAGATACTTTTATTTATACTTTAGAAAGCAAACAGGCTGCCCACAAAGAATGGTTAGGAAACTCAAAGAGTTTTATTTTGTACTGTTAAAAAAAAATGTAGGTCATCGATTCATCTGTATAAATAATTTTTCTGGCAAGAGTAGTTAACTTTTAACCTTCCATTCAAAAACTTCACAACTTCAAGTATTGGAAATGCACTTAAATTTCCCCTGCCTTTATTTTATATAGTACATTCGCATAGCAATTAGCTGACTCATGAGGTCGAAGAGTTTCTTTAAAAGAAGGTTCAAATCTTTACCAGTATGTAATGGGACAAATTAGCATTCTCTTGGTCAGTATTCATTTTAATAGTACTATTTTTCTTTCATTTCTCCTGAAAGAAAGTGGGGGGAAATAGGCATACCTGTACAATTCAGATCAAAGCACAAAATATCATTTAAAAAATAAATACCTAAGGCATACCTGCCACACTTTTATTTCAATTTCCTCAGCTGTTTAAAAATTATCTCGAGTGTCGCTGCATTTCTACCTGCTTTCTTACCAGCAACCTCTGTGGCTCTCGCCTGCGCTGAATCCACCTCTGGAGGGTAGCTGCTCATTGTCACTTGTCATGAAGCGTACAGTTTGATATCCTGGGCTTCACAGGCAATTTCAGAAACTCAAATGACACTATATGGACTTGCTCTAAATCTTTTTTTAGTGCAGTTTGGCAAATATCCCAAATGAAATTCAACTCTAAGTTAAAAGTATCAAACAGAGATAGTGCTAAGTGCGTCTGTGACTTTCTGGGCTGCCCAGAGGCTCTGGAGAGCGTAGGAATGGAAAGCCTAATTGCCCCGAACTGAAGTGACTGCAGACACCACCTGCTTTTACCACAGCAGAACAGTCACCCACAGAGACAGCAGGAGCCCAAGGCTGGGCAGCAACACCTGCAAAGGTGGCCCAGGTTGCTGGACTCTTGGGTTGTTGTGAATATCTTTAAAGGTCAACAGCCCCTGCACCCACTTTGCCCCTACCTCCCCATCTCAGCAAGCGTGGACCTTCTCCCCACTCTACCTCACAGTGTTAAGAACAGCAAGCATGGACACACAGAAACCTGCTCTCTTCCGCTTGATCGTCCCCTCCTCCACTCCAGTGCTCTCTCACTTCCAGGCTTTCTCTACCTGCAGACTGGAACTGCACTTTGGTTTTGGTTGCTAGAAAAGAGGTTATTATAAAGCTGTCTGGAGAGACCACCGCTAGATGGCCAAGTCACTGGGTCTGGCCCTGCCGCCGCTGGACTTACTGGCCTTGCTTGATCGGCCCGGCTCTGCCGGGAGCAAAGGAGGCGCGTGCATCTCCACCGCGGTGGTCACTGCCTGCTCCCCGTCGTCGGGAGTCACTGCCAGTTTGCTCTCTCCCAAGCTGCTGCCGTGCCCGTTCAGCGACAGGCCGGGCGCGCTGCTTCCCGCGCCACCGTTCTCAGGGAGCTGCTGGGCGCTGCCTGTAGGGCTCAGGGTCGCAGAAGCCGACGCTGGAGGGGAGGCCTTCCTCGCAGAAGTCTGCTGCTCGGCCTCCTGGTTGGCCCAGTTCTGTTCTGTCACTAGCAGGTGGTGGTTGCCGTTGTAGAATTTGGCGGGGTGGTCCTTCCCCGGTGCCTCGTTCAGGGCTGCCAGGTTGAAGTCTGTTGCTGGTGGAGGGGCTCCGGGGTAGCCCGCGGCCGTGGCCTTTGCCAGGGAAGAGGCAGAGTGAGTGTAGTAAGGCGGGAATCCGATGGTAACCGTGGGCGGGGCAGAGTGGGAGGGGAGGAGGAGTGGGCTCACACCCCCGGGGTTTGTGGCCCCCACCCTGGATTCAGGGGAGTCTGAGCGGTAGTGGTTGGTCATTCCTTGTTTAAGCTTCTTCCAGCCCAGGTGGTAGATCTCCAGCATGTTGAGTAAGAGGGACACGCAGGCCACGGCCAGCATGAAGATGATGAATATGGTCTTTTCCGTGGGCCTGGAGATGAAGCAGTCCACCGTGTTGGGGCAGGGCCACCGGTCACAGCGGTACAGCGGCTTCAGCTCAAAGCCGTACAGAAAGTACTGCCCGGCGATGAAGCCCACTTCAAACAGCGTCTTAAAGATGATGTTGAACACGTAGGTCCGGAGCAGGGCCCCGGCGATTCGGATCTTGCCCCGGTCATCCCGCACCGGCGGCCTGTCCTTCTGGCTGTGGCCGCCCGGCCCACAGCGTGCAGCCGGCCCGTGGTGCGGGCTGTCGCCCTTCAGCAGCTCTTCCTCTCGCTCTTTCTTCTTCTCTTCCATGCGCACGATGTGCAGCACATGGCCCAGGTAGATGAGGGTGGGCGTGGACACAAAGATGATCTGCAGCACCCAGAAGCGGATGTGGGAGATGGGGAAGGCTTTGTCGTAGCAGACGTTCTCGCAACCGGGCTGCTGCGTGTTACACGTGAAGTCCGACTGCTCGTCCCCCCACACCTCCTCGGCTGCGGCGCCCAGCACCAGGATCCTGAAGATGAACAGGACCGTCAGCCAAACCTTGCCAATGACCGTGGAGTGCTCCTGTGCGTTCTCTAATAGTCTCCCCAGAAAGCTCCAGTCGCCCATTGCTTCAGATTGCTAACCTGCAAGGGAACATTGCTGGTTAATAGGAAACTTATGGCGAGCTGTCCAGTCCAAGCACCCCGAGGGGCAGGCCTTGGCGGGTGGCGCTGGAATAATCTTTCCCGGGGGAGCTGTAGTCCCACTTCCATACGAGGGAGGCGCTGCGGAGCTCTCCACAGCACGAGTGTGCGTGTGCAGGGGTGTGTGTGCGTGAGCGCGCGCGTCTCCACCATGGCGCTGAGCAGGGTTAGCTAAACGCCCGCAGCGCCAGCGTGACACGGAGCTCCTGTTACACTAACGAGCGCTGGCGCCGAGGAGACGCCCACGGGCGACTGAAGCCCTCGCTTCAGAGATGAGGAAACTGGAGCTCCAAAGAGAAATGACTTGCCTGAGGGGAATGTGCCTCTCCCCTGGCTTCTAACTCCCCATCCTGTCCTCTTCCAGGGCCCAGTCTCCCAGGAGCCCTGGTGCTGCGGGGTACACAGCTTGGCTCCACTCCTAACCTCCACCTTTCGGTTCCTGTGAGGTTACGGTAACTTTCCTGCATAACTTCTGCCACATACTAACCTACTACCTCTTCTAGTACTTACTTTCTTTTTTCACTTGGCAAATATTCCGTCATGGTTAACTCACTGCACGTCCCCAGGCAGGAGCCCATGTCCCCATCTGTAAGATGGGACGATGGTCATTGGGTCATGTGCCGTGAGCTGCTTCCTAGACGGAGGGAGGGCCTGCAGGCCTCCTCTGTGAAGGTGGCAGTGTTCCTCAGACGCAGGGGACCAAGGTTACAAGGCGTCCTCCCTGTTGCTACTGCTCAAACAGGCCAGATGCTTCCAACTAGAACCAAAAGAACTCTGTTCTTCGGTCATTCTTCGCTAAGGAGAGCGGCCCAAGCTGTAAGTGTATGTACGAGTTCCAGCAGCCTTAAAGAACACTCTTCTCATTTTGAATGTTAAAATGTTTAAAAATATTAACTTTTATGAATGGGTTCAAAGGCAAATAAAACAAAACTTTACTCACCATGATCTAAAGAAATAGACAAACGTTAACCCTCTCCTAGAATAAACTTTCAAGCCTTGGTTGTGGTCATTTGAGGTCTTTAGAAAAATATTACCAGTCACATATCCTACCAGCCTCCTTGTCCCATACTGTGACTGGCAGCTATTCTATTTGGCATGTTCTTAGAAGGTAAAATATTTTAATTCAGAAACTTAATTACTGAAGGTGAAACAACCCACTCTTCCGTGAAGGATGTCAGGTGTCAGGGGACCCTTCTAGGTTACATCCTGCTTCTCCTCAACCCCAGACCGTCACAGCGTTTTGAATGGCATCTCTGCCCATAGCCCCAGCCCCTCCCTTCAGTCTGCTGGAGATTTTCCTCTGGGGCACAGGACAAAAGCCTCGCATAGTGTGGACCTCCCATCAGTCCCTGATCCAACACTGCTGATGCCAAACTTCCCGCGGTCAATGGGACCCTGCCGTTACGCCCTTGCACGTGCTAGTTCTTCAACTTCAAACTTGGCCCCAATCCAGGGACTGGCCTATTGACCTGTCACTTACCTCCACTCTCCCCTCAAGAGTGGCCAACTCAGGCTAACATGGGGGCCCTGTGTTTTCTCTTCCCACTTATCACGGCCCTGGCTTAATGGCCATTCCTTCCTTTACGTTCCAGGAGGTATTTCCCACCCTCCCACCCCTCCTACCTTGCTAAGCTACAAACGGCATCGTCTCTCCTTGCTCTCCCCAGACAAGCACAGCCTTCTGAGTTTCTACAGAAAACCACCTTTAACCACCTTGGCTGCTTGTGGACTTTCTCCTTTACTCTAGTTTTGAGGTTGGGGTTTGCATGTGTAGCCTTTCCTCCTTGATGTCTGCAGGCAGAACAGTTGGGCAATGTGCATTTCTGGAAGTCTCGAAGAAAAGACCAGTGTGGGGGAATTTAATACTTCTTCCTGCTACCTTCCCAGCCTTGTTGAATACAGCATAGCGTGCTGAAAAGGAGTCAATGCAATGTGCCTGGTAGATTCTCCCCACAAGGCTGGTGGCACATGACACCATGAGGGAGGGTCTGCTTGTCACAGAGCCTGAGAAAGTGTTGCTGGCATTTCCCTGCAGGGCCAGGGAGGCAAAATGCTCCTCAGTGATGGGAGTGTCCCACACAGTAAAGAACTGGCCCGCCCCCAAAGCCCATTCTGCACCTATTGAGAAACACGGGGCTAGGTAAATATTTATTCAACTAGTAAATCAGACGAGGAGGGTAGGGCAGGTGCCTGTAGCATCTTGTTACTCTTCTTCGCTGGCTCAGCCTCTCCAGAGTTCTTTAGGTCCAGGTGCTGCAAAACACTTACAGATAGGTACCCTTATAATCCCATCATGACCTCTGATTGCAACCTACAGAATCATGATGTGTCACTGTCCACGTACTTAGCTGGTACTCTGGCAGTTGCCAAGGCTCAGGAAGTCCTAAAGATGGGACGACTAACAATGTGTCCTAAATGGGGGACACCCATGGCTCATGCACTGTGTGGTGGCACACACTGGCAAGACCATTCTGGAAAGGAGTTTAGTAGGATGTATGAAGCGATATAAAAGCCATGATACCTCTAACCTGTAATTCTACTCCTGGGACATCATACCTGGGAAATAATCAGAGATTCTGATGAATGGATGAACATGGATATATACTGTGAATTACTTATAAGAAGGAATAATTGGAAACAGAAGTGTCCACTAAAGGACGACCAGTTAAATCAGGACCTTAACCCAGATCCTATTCCCGGTCTTCCTCTCCCTAGCCTGCCTCTAATGTGACCAGGAAGGGAAATTCTTGCTTTCCTACCTCCTTTTGTTGTATCCAATGAGGTGTAAGAAGTTGGCTGGGGAACTTCTGGGAAAGCTTTGGTTTCCTAATAAAAGGGCAGATGCTACCTCTGCTGTTCCTTCCCCTTCCCATAGTGAATGCAGATGTGATGCCTGGAGCTGGGCAGTCCCCTTGCAAGCATGTGTCAATAAGTGTGAGGGAATGGTCGAGAAAGTCCAAGGCACCTGTTGTGACACTGTGGACCTGCTGGATCAACCCCAACAGCAATCTCCAGACTTAATGTGAAGGAAAAAACTCTATTTGTTCAAGTTAGGTTTACTATGGCCTACAGACAAAAGAATTCCTAACTGATACATTCTCTTTAATTCTGTATAGAATAAGGCCAGGCATAAATGAAAAGCTATGGTTCATTCTTAACTACTGAAATACCAGGTATTCACTAGATATAATTTTTAAGATCATCAATGAAATGAAGAGATATTCATGCTGTAATGATAAATGACAAAAGCCTAATACAAAACTCTGGTCTGATATCAAATATTTTACACACATTCATACATGCAAAAGGAAGGGCAAGAATGATACCGAAATGTTAACCATAGTGTTTCTTGAACTGGGTGATTTTCATTGTCTTTTCATATTTCTTTGCATTTTCTGTAACAACATCACATTTATCATCATAAAGGATTAATGGTCATGACTTTCATGTTTCAAAGTTCTAGTTTTTGAAAAAGTCTGATTCCTTTCTCATTGTTCTTTCATTATGGTTTCTACTCCGTAGATCTCTTTAATCATGCCCCTGATAAGCACACAAAAGACAAATACAATACATATGACGTTATTAGCACAGTGTTAGAGGAGATTGATCCTGGGATCTCTCAGATGCAACACGAACCCTGACAATGGTTATCATTGATGACACAGAGTGTAAATTGGATTCTCCTGCCATGGCAGTCTGCCAGTTTCGCCCAAAGCGAGGGCCAGGCTATTTGTATCCCGTCACTCACTGCTGAGTCCTACTACTACTACACTTCACACTTTGGGTTTATTTTTTTTTTAAAGATTTTATTTTTTTATTTGATAGAGAGAAAGAGAGAGAGAGCACAAGCAGGGGGAGCGGCAGGCAGTGGGAGAGGGAGAAGCAGGCTTCCCGCTGAGCAGGGAGCCCGATGCGGGGCTCGATCCCAGGACCCTGGGCTCATGACCTGAGCCAGAGGCAGACGCTTAACTGACTGAGCCACCCAGGCGCCCCACAGTTTGGGTTTTGTTTTGGAAAATGCATGCATGAATGAATAAAACAATTAACCAGAAGACCGAATATCTATGGGAGGGCTGGCAGTATGGGTCAAGGTCAGCTCAAAATGGGAGCCTCCAAAGTAGAAGCGACATCCACCTCTCTTCATAGCCATCAGAGTCTGCTCCAGACACCATGCAGGCGGTCTTAAGGTGTTTTATCAATATCACTTTTTAATCATATCCCTAAGACCAATTCAGTGAGAAAATGACAGCAGAGGAGTGAAGCACACCCAGAGCAGCAAAGCTCTGCTGGCTAAGTACAAACAATGGATCACACAGGGGACCCCGTGATCCACTGTGGGCTGACATCAAGTGAGACAAACACGGTGACTGAATGAAATATCCTTCTGCTTGAAAGAGGAAAATGGGTTTATTCCTATCGTCAACGTATGGGGCCATTTCAGGACAAAACTAGAGCAGCTCCTGAAAGCTCACACTGTGAGTGCTTAACTTTGTAAGGTGCGTGTGATCTAATTATAGAGCACCACAGCTACAAGACTGCGCACTTTTTAGCTAACTCATCTACCGCAGCACCAGTGGGGTTCTCTATTACTTGGATGCCGACATGAATGATCTCCATGAGATGGCATTTAACTGGTTTTTACTTTGATCTCAATGAAAACTTTGATTCTGACATTAATGCAGAACAAGATCTTATGTTGCATAGTTTACATGGCTGCTTCCATGTTCTTCTGACAGTTATACTTTCCCTTTCAAAGTTACACAGTTTCCCCTTGGCCTTCAGGATATGTTGAGTGTCCCTTCAGATCCATCAATGGCTATTTAGTCAGTGACAATCTTGTGCTCAACTCTGGGCCGCACCTTCTGTTCAATACAGTGGAAGTAAAAACATGGTCTCTATCTTGAAATCTATTTGTGGAGATGGGAAAATGGGGAGCTATGTGGCTACAGAGGGATTCCAGAGAAAAAGGATAATAATATCAGAACACATAGCCAGGGAAAGCTAGCCAGGGAAAGGTGGCACTAGAGCTGGGTTTGGGAGAGGTGGCTTTGGATAGGAGAAGAGGGCCGGGGGTGGATTTCAAGGCCAGAATGGCATTCCCGCGGCAGTGTGAGCCGGTGTGGCTCAAATGGGGGCTTTGTGTTAGAGCGGTGAGTTTAAATGGCTGCTTCTGCCTAGAAGAGCTAGACGGGCTGCACTTTGAACATAATAGGCGCTCAGTAAACACCGGTGGGACAAATGAATGAAAGGACATCGAGGGCCACTGAACCACTTGGAGAGCAGGGAGATATGCTGAAAGTGCTGTTCAGAAAAGAAGGGGCCCCTCTAACAGGGGCTCAGGAAGAGTGGTAATCTCTGAGTGAGTGCTGAAGGCCCAGGATGGATGACAGCAGGGGCGAATGGAAAAAGGACGGACAGAAACGAGACACAGTCTGGAGACAAAAATAAAGCAGAATGGAGAGTCTGCCTAGTCAGAGAATGAAAGAGAGAGGCATGAATTAAAGACAAACTTCCTATTTCTGAGCCTGAGTGGGACAATCAGGGGGCCATTTGAAGAGAAAAACAGTGGGGAGGCTCGCTAATTTGGGATTGGAAAAAAGATGAAGACTCTGGTTTTGTGACTGTCTGGATCAAAAGTACCGGTGCAAGATACGAGTGAAAGTGTCCAGGAGGAAGCTGGAGACACGGAATTAGAAAAGGTTGGGCAGAGGGTCCGCAGTGTAGCTCCACCTCTCCCTAGTGGAGACGACAGAGCAAAGCACAAAGGACGGACTTCATGGAAAATCCAGCGAAACAGATGAAGAGGAGGGCAGGAAGGGACTCACTGCCCGCACCATGGGCGGTCGGTGCTTCAGTGACGGCCGGACTGACCAAGTGGGTAAGAGCCTAAGACTAAGCAATGACAGACAGCAGCAACCCCTAGATAGGCACGGAGGGAAGGGACCTTCCTCGGTAGGGCCCCGATGAGCTCTGCCAGACAGGTTCACATTGTTTGGGCTGCATTTATTTTGTTATCAAAATAATATCAAATAATATTAAAAGAGAAGACCCTTTCTTCTTTATAGAACTGACCCCAACATTTAGCTTTGCCTGAGCTACTAAGATTGAATTTTTACATTGTACTTGGGGATACCCGAGAAGCAGCAGAGCCTCACCTGCTGAGAATACTGTTCACACCAGAAGGCACATTCTCTGAGAGTGGTCAACAAGACTGGAGAACTAGGCTGACACAGAAGTGAGGAAGCCAAAGGAGGACTTTGAAGAAAGAGGTGACTAACAGTGTCAACATTCTTCGGCATGTTCAAGATGGATGGACATAAAGAAAAGGCCCTTTGATCTCACAAGGAAGGCACTGATGGTCTTTAAATGCCCAGTCTAGTGGGAGCACTGGGAAAGAAACAGAAGTCCAGGCCAGTGGTTAAAGAGGCAGAATGTGGGAGAGAAATGGAGACACGGTACGGAGAGCATTTGTTCAATAAGTCTAGAACTTAAGGGAAGGAGAGACACAAAATGGGTAAAAAGTGGGGGAATAAGGCCCAAAGGAGGCATTTCCGAGATAGGGAGGGCTGTGGCTGTTTGG